AAGGAGAGCAGCTAAGAACTGAGCAGGGAGGAAGAGTATGAGGAAAAGATTAACATAAAACAGAGGCAAGTGGTGGAAGGGAAAGAGAGAAGGGAAATTGCATGGAAACGGAAGGAAACCCTCAACATTATATGAAATCACATATAAGAGGTTGTGAGGGGAAAGCGGGGGAAAAACAAGGGAGAGAACTGAACAACAACAGATTAGGTAGACAGGGAAGATGGGAGGGGAGGGGAGGGGCGATAGTAGGGGATAGGAAAGGTAGCAGAATACAACAGTCACTAATATGGCATTATGTAAAAATGTGGATGTGTAACTGATGTGATTCTGCAATTTGTATTTGGGGTAAAAATGGGAGTTCATAACTCACTTGAATCAAATGTATGAAAGATGTTGTGTCATGAGCTTTGTAATGTTTTGAACAACCAATTAAAAAAAATTCATGGACCAGAAAAAAATAGGGAAAGATAGATGTTCTAGTCCATTTATGCCACTGTAACAAAATACCTGAAAAGGGGCAATTTCCAAGGAATAGAAATTTCTCACACCTCGAAATTGGAATATCGAGGTACTGACAGTTCCAGCATCTGGTGAAGGCTGCCCTCAGCCTCCAATTTGGAGCCTTCTTACTGCATCTCTGGAGAGGAAGGAGACAAAAGGGCTGAACACTGTTCTCACATGGTAGAAGGACAAAAGGCACTGAAGCTCTGCCTTCACCCTCTAATCCATCATCAAGACACAGTACTCATGACAATCACTTCCCAAAAGAGTCTAACTCTCATACTGGGTATTAAGTTCCCACATAGGAATTTTAGAGGGACACCCATTCAAAGTCTAGTAATTTGTTTTTCATGGCTAAAATAACACCGATACAAAATGGGCATGGACGATCCAAAGAAAAAATTATGAAACAATCTTAATATATTTTTAAGAAATCTAAACATAGCATTGGCAGATCAGTTCAACAATCTGTTCGATGAGAACACACAAGGAATTTTCATGTTATTAGACTTTACACTGATGCCCCTTTAAAAAGCAGAGTTTAAAGTACTCATACACTGCAACATGATTTCCCCTCTAAGTACTGATGAACCCATAAAATACTTACACATGTATATAAGGAGATACAGAAGCATGTTTGTTCCAGTACTTTTTTTTTTTTTGGCTAATAAGAAAAGTGTTCATCAACAGGAAAAAGGATGGTCTATTCTTAAGTAGAATAGACAGTCCTGACAGTGATTTGACATGCAGTTTTACAACTGTATTATCACATTACTGAGAAAAAGATCATTTTTCTTGAATTTCTTCTCATAAAGACTAACCCCTTTCATGAGAGCTCCCCTCGCATGACCTCCCAATACTATTACAGGGCTTCAACATAAATTTGAAAGGGTACATTCAGGACACAGCAAGAAGTACTATATCATGTATAAATCCTGAGCTACAAGCTAAAGTAAAAAGCTGCCACCACCATGGATAAACACATGTATACAACATGCAGAAAATAACGAACACTGAATTTATATTCAATATTAAAGAGGTCATTTGCAAGGGACATAAGGGTATTTTCATTGTATCTCCAAGTCTTAATCTTTGTATATTTAAAAAAATGTAATTACTGTGAAATATTTCAAACAACCAATCCAACATATTTTCCCAAAGAAACTCTGCTATGACCCTCTTAACCATTAGATATTTTTAAACTTTCAAAATGCCTTGCAAAGTGTAATTAGGCCTCAACTGTATTATTAAATAGGTGACAAGACTAAAACTTCTCGATCTTCTGCAGTCACTTAGCCCTCTTTCTTGAAGTACTGCATACATCTGCTTTAAAAAGAGGAAAATATAAACTGAGCACAGTGGCACATGCCTATAATCCCGGCTACTCAGGAGTCTGAGGCAGGTGGAAAGGAAATTCAAGACCAGCCTTGATAACTTAGCTAGACTCTGTTTCAAAATGAAAAATAAAAATTTTTTAAAGAAAATTTTTTTATATTTTTTTTTAGTTTTCAGTGGACACAACATCTTTATTTTTATGTTGTGCTGAGGATCGAACCCAGCGCCCCGCGCATGCCAAGCGAGCACGCTACCGCTTGAGCCACATCCCCTCAAAATATTTTTTAAATTGGGAAATACTGTCTGCCTCATGCACCTCTAAAACAGGTACCCCAACCCCAATAGTTACTAGTCCTTTCTGGAAAAGAGTCAGTTACTAAAATCATTTGTCTCCTTTTTTTTTTTTTTTAGTTCTTTAATATTGTTTTAAGTTGTCAATGGACCTTTATTTATTTATATGTGGTTCTGAGAATTAAACCCAGTGCCCCACACATACCAGGAAAGCACTGTGCCACTAAGCCACAACCCTAGCCCATTTAACTTTCTGAATCAGGGTGACATCTTACTTGCCTAGGCTAGAAATAAAACAATTTTAGTGCCTCTGACACAGTCCCCGCCCAAGCAATCATAAAGGTCGCTTAATACCTCAGTTTATGAATAAGAGGACTAAGTTTAAGAGAACTATAGTACAACATGACTTTTATATTCTTAAACATCCATACGAGATTTCAAGTGTTCTCAACCTCAAGCATGTGAGATAATGCCTCTGTTAATTGTCTCTACATTCATTCCACAGTGCATACATATTTCAAAAGCTTAGTAAATTACGTATCAAGGCAGTTGTAAAACTTAACTAAATAATTTCAGTAAGAAGTTCAGGAGATCTATTGTACAACACAAGATTAATAAGAATGTATCATTCTTGAAATTTCTTAAGTGTTCTCACTACACACACAAATATGACCAGTATGTGAGGTACGGCATGCTAACTAGCTCAAATTCGCCATTCCACAATGTATACATGTTTCAAAACATATTGCGCATGATAACTATGTACAATTTTGTCTAATTTAAAAAGAAGAAAAAGGAAGTTAGCTAACTTTTTCCTTCTTCAGAAACAGGGATGTTTCTGGATCACTGCTCACACGGAAAATAACTAAAAATATTGGATAACTTTTTCCTTTAAAGAAAACTCTGTGAAAGAACAATAAGCTCTCAGCCCACAGGAGAGTAAAGACCATAATCTGAGCCAGCACCACTTCCCTTGAGGGTGCTTGTGACCCTGCCCAAAATGAACCTTGAGTGAAAGGCTCAAAAATTAAAACCCGGACTCCTAAAGTAGGAGCCTAATACGAGATCACATTACACTGGGATCTGAGAGGCTACACTTTAGTTGGGGAGAGGCATAGAATTAGGCGCACCTAAACAGAGAAGATGAGCACAAAGGACCTGTTCTTGGAAAATGTGACCAGACGCTGGCCTCACATAGATTTGTAGCCCAGGTTCGCATCACCTGGGTGAGCCAAACATCAACCTATGCATTCCATTTGAAGTGATTGAAGGGCACTGAATCACACATGCCCTCTCTAGAGAAAGGTACCTTCCTCTTTCAAAGGTTGAAATGATCCTCACTAATACTTATTCTAAAATGACCAATCTCCCAAACAAACCAATAAGTGAGAATAAAGAAACAAATGGATACAAAATTATCAGCTGTAAGTGACAAAAACACTATTTCTTTAATCATAGTAAAGAATAAGCTTTAATATATCTGCACAGATTGGGAAATTATACAAAGAAATATAAATTTGAAAAGAGATCACATGGAGAATTTACTTACAAAAATTATAGTAACTAATTTTTAATAGTTAACCTTATGGCAGATTAGACACAGCTAAGAGGTATTTAGTGAGTTGTTTAAAAAGAAATTATCTAGAATATAGAAGAAAAAAATAAAATTATAGTAGAGATTAGTGGTATCTGAAAATCACATTACATTGATAACAATCCTTGAAGGAAAGAGGATGAAACAAACAATATTTGAAAAAACAATCACCTGAGAATTTTGTAGAAGTGATCAAAATATATCAAGCCACAGATGTAAGAAGATAACAAGCAAACCAAAAATAATTCACTATTAAAGAAACTATAGAATGCCAAATAGAAAAAATATATATATATATATACAAGCAGATTTTTGAGAAACATTTCCATTTAAGTAAAAATGGAAGCTAGAGGACAGTGGAATGCTAGCTAGAAGATGCTCAAAGAAAATCCTGTGAAACAAGAATTCTATATTTAAAAAATCTTCCGAGAATGAGAATGAAATAAAGCAGAGTATATCACCAGCAGACTGACACAAGTCCCTACTAATAGATGTCCAGAAGGAAAGATCTCAGATGGAAGGTGCAAGAAGAATGGATATTGGTCAATATGTAAGTGAATCTTAATGAGCATCGATGATCATATTAAACACTGACTTGTGTGACTTAAGAGAATTAAAATAGACATCTAAGATAACAAATGACATAGGAGTTAAATAAATGGAGCTCTAGTGATCCAAAGCACTTTGTAATCCAGGAGGGGAAAGAAGATGTATACTCTAAACTCCAGTAAGATTGTTTGTTACCTGTTATCACTGAAAGAGTAAAAATGGTACATGTGACTTTCAAATTAGTAAAGAGAAAATTAAGTTATACAAAATAGTCACAATGTTTAAAAGACAAGAACAGAGAAGAGGAGGCACAAACAGGACAGTAAGACCAGACGACAGAACATAGTGCTTCTTTCAAAGTGAATAAATTATTGCCATGTGTGGAAGAAACGGACTCCTCACGCAAACAATATTGAGGGAGAAAAAGGAAAAAAAATACTATTTATTCAAAATTTAAAAATAGGCCACAGGAGGAAACATAGGTAAGTGGTAAAGCTACCAAGGATGGTCTGGCAATCACCCATGTCAGGAGAAAGACAGATTTGGAGGTCTCTGGGTTAATAGCAACAAGAATATTTGCTTTGTAATTATCCATTCAACTGGTCTTTTTCTATTTATTTGTGTGATTACATTTCAAAGAGGTTTAAAATGGAGTTCGCCAAGTAGTTCGACCATAGTGCCTGAAATCTGACCTTTACCTTCAAGAGTGCTTTTTTCTTTCCCTCCACAGACCCTTGTCCATGGACTTGTTCTGCTAAGCAGCTTCCTGATGTACTTTGTGGTCTCCGTGGTGTATAACGCCACCTGCATCACCTGCAACAGTCCCACCAATCCCTACTGGGTGATGGTGAACCAGCTCTCAGACCCCACGTTCTACCTCATCTGCTTCCTCACACCTGTCGCGGCTCTCCTCCCAAGGTCTGAGCACAGGGGTCGTTTCCCATCTAGAATGCCCATCTCCCCTTAATAAGCAATTTTCATAACCCAGGAGTCATTATTTGGCCCTTGATGGGCTCCTAGTGTCTGTTCTTCCAGAGGCAAGGTGCTAGAACAGAAAGAACAATGAGCCAGGGGACAAACAACACCAACTGTGGTCCCCAGGTCAGCCACAGCGAGGCAAAGTCACTAAATCAAAGTTACCTCGGTTGTGACATCTGTAAAATAGGAGTAAAAATGCTAACCTTTCTGACTTAAGATAATGGTTGTGTGATAGCCGGGGAATGCCTACAGGATAGGCAAGCAACTGCCCCAAGTCAGGTTTAGTGAAAACAGTGGGGGAAAGATACAGCAAAGCATTCCAGAGTTTTCAGTTTTTCTCCCCAAAACTTAAAATTTACATGAAATAGCCAACTTTTTCAACATCATTTAAATTTGTTCAAAACGCTCATACAAAACCTGTGTATGCCAGATGCGCACAGACTGTTCCTGATATTCCCAACCTAACATTCTTTGCTTTCACATTTTCCATAAAAAGGGCAAAATGAATAATGTCTGGCCTTTCTGTGGAGCTCCCCCTTGATACACACTTTTCTATAGAGCTGATGGAAAAAGCAAAACAAGGGGCTAAGAATTTGGTTCTAGTTCAACTTGTTCCCGACACTGCTGATGCATCTATAAACCCAGTACCCCTTAGAGTGGGAGCTGGATTCTCCCACCCAGGGATCCATGTTTTGTTCTCCATCCCACACTCTCGACCCAGAGAAATTGGGTAATTTCACAGTGATATACTCATAGGTGAAAGCCCATCTCAGTCTCATTACCCTGAACTTCAGAGTTCAACCACTTACCATTAGAGACTGTATTCAGTAGAAATCACAGTATTGCAGAACTCTTTCTATCCCCAAATTAGAGACCATCGACACCCTTTGCTGCACCTGTGCTGGAGGCTGAAACTGCCAAGATGGCAGAACACCATAGAAACGAGTTCTAAGTATTCACTGTGTGCATGACCTCCCTTCTTGGCTGGTCTCTGAAGGCTCATCTCCCTATCCTTTGCCTCAAACTTTGGGTTCCACACTACCAAGCTGTTTGTGGCCCCTTACCATTTCTCTCCCAGTTCCTTCTATTTGGAATGGCCTTCCCATTACCAAAACCCTTCAGCCTTTGTAATCTGCCGCAGTCCGGCTGCAGCAAAATAGCAGGGGGGTGGGGGTGATGAATAACTTGCGTGAGTTGATACAGCAGGAGTAGGAGCCCTTTATTGTAGGAAAACAGAGCTATTTATACATTTTGCACAGCTTATCTTAATTAGCATAAACTAGATACATCAGTCAACCATAAGAAATCTCCACACTTAATGGCTCACTTTTGTTACTTCTCAAACCACTCCCTCTCGCATTTTGCCAGGCACCATCCAGACTTGTTTACGAACTCTAACATTTCTCTGGCAAAATACCAGACTTGTCTACAGACCTTAACAATAATCTTGTCAGATATGATGATTTTCAGAAGTTCCGTGACATCGTCCACCTTCCACAAGATGAAATAAGTCTATTTCTCACATAGCCCACCACCTGGTATGCCTATCATGACCTTTCTAGCATTAATCACAGTCTCTCTCTTGCCATCATTGCATAGCACACTTCCTATCTGCACTCAGATAAATGAAAGGAACAGCAACCTTAAGAAGTCTATAATCCAGTGGGTGATTTGGATGTGAGTCTGACCATAGTATAAGAGGCTGGTATCAAGAGTGAGCCCTAAAAGTATTGTGGGAAGCAATCGGGCCCAAGCAGAAGCCTCAGGAGCATAGTTCCCACCCTACCCTTTAAGATAACCACTGAAGAGAGGAACTATGACAATCATGCCCTTGTCAGAAAAGGGTATCAAAAATGAGGGTTGAGTATTCTTGTCAATTTATTTTGAGGTTATTTGAGATGTGCAAAGCCAAATTTATAAGCCCCATATTCTTTATCTCTAACTAAACAACTTGGAGCCAGAATATAAAAGACTGATGCCTCATTTTAATGAAGCAAAGGGTGCTTTGAAAAGATGAACAGATGAGGGACAAGTAAGGAAAGGAAAGGTCAGCAGATATTCACTTGCTAGTTACCCTACCTAACAGAGAGTAAGCAACCTATCAATCAAAATAAAGTTGAATTTCTTAATATTTATTGAGAAGCAAAGAGATTTCCTCTGATATGAAAGGATGATATACAATAGTTGGAAGGGCTATTGATTTGGAACAGTTGTTCACCTGTAGAAAACTACTAGTTTACTGATTGTTATAATAAATGCAGCTTACATCCGAGATAGATTTTCCACCCAAACTTAAGATAATTAGCCCACTAACTATGACCTCTCAAACCTAGTTATTTCCACCAGCATAAAATACAGCACAAATCCCCCTAACTACAAACAGAAGAAAAGCAAATGAAATGTTGACCTTCAATGTGCCTCTTAATTAACTACAGTAGAAGGGAACAGTCCCTGGACCCTCTTTCCTTGGCTTCAGGGACTCTACACACTCTTAAGTTTTTCCTCCTTTCTTTTGCTGGCTCACATCTGTTATGTGGTGTAGATGGCAATCCTACCTCTAAGTTCCCTTCTAACTTTATTCTTATTGTTGTGGATTTTTTT